CAAATGAAGAATTCTATAAGCAACTAAAATGGGAAATGGAGTATGTGTGGGAATGTGCGTTACCTGTCCAGTGCAGAGACCAACCACCAGGTCAGCTATAAAGGTATCCTCTGTTTCTCCTGAGCGGTGGCTCACCATCACACCCCAGCCGTTCTCCTGGGCCAGCTTACACCTGAGAGGCAGTGGCGGTATAAATATGATGCTTGCTCTCACATGGCAGGCATGTACACGGACATGTGTGCCTATACCCATGCAACAAATACACTCAGAATCAACTCACGCCTTGATGGCCTCTGTGACAGAGCCAATCTGGTTGACTTTAAGCAGCAGGCAGTTGCAGGCCTTGTCCTCCACGGCTCGTTGTATCCTGCGTGGGTTAGTGACCGTTAGATCGTCTCCAACCACCTGCACAATTTATACAACAAAGTTACAGACAGATTGATAGTAGCAAGTCTACTTAGCCCAGTGAGTATTAATGTTTGTTGCTGCCTGACGTACGTAAATCCATAAACCAAAAATATTAAAGGGGAATTCCACAGATTTTACACATGACAATCACCATATTTGCCAGGCAAGGAGAGTCAATAAAATCTGCTATGAAATTTCATTACCGACATTGCAGAATCCAGCATTTTGCAGCCATGACGGCAACTAAAAATCAGAATATTTCAACCTCTGCAGCATCAATGTTGACCATTTTCATAAACAGTAGTGCGAAGTGTAATACTCAATTGCTGGAGTACCCCTTTAAGGACCTACTGAACTAATTCACTCCCAGATTACAAGGACAAAGTCTGATATCTTACCTGGATGCCCACTGAGGCTGTGAACTGCGACCAAGCAGGCCAGTCGTCCTGGTCAAAAGGATCTTCAATAGACACCACTGAAGGAAAGAGAGATGGGTAGGATTATTGTTTTGCATACGTCTAATATTATGACCTTTTTTTCCATGACTCACCTAAAAGTCAATAGGAGTAGAGCACCAGTGAAATTGCCAATTAAAGGTTCTAATGGGAGTAATGTCTAAAAATTCACTCACAGATGCACACAGGCACTTTGCACACACACGCAGGAAGCACACCATTGACAGACTAAAGAGCCACACCAGAGTAGGTCCCTGCTTGCCAAATGCGTGCTGTAGGGCATAATTAAAACCTCTTTAACGGGCCTGAGTGTCAGGAGGAGAGATCGGGATGTGGAGACCTAAAGCTCTTTTGTTCTGTTAGTTTCTCTAAGAGGCAATGAAGAAATATGGCAATTGTAGAATTATCCATCTTTGCTTATGTCTGCTTTTGCTTTAATTTGCTTTACTTACTATATTACTGTTGCTCATGCCTGTCCTTGCTTGTAACTGTAATTTGTGCTGTTTTTATTGCCGCCCGTGTGTGTTCTGCTTCTACTGTAACTGACATGCCATACAGCATAATGATTATTGTTTTTAACTTGTTTCTTGATTTTAGATTGACTTTAGTCTGCCAGCATCACACCTGGCTAAATTTACAGATGGAAGTTAAAACAGCTTTTAACACTGACACACATCTCTCAATGAGTCTATGCCTTGAGGCTCAGTGAATACAGTTCCCTTATTTTAAAGGTCCACAATGAATGGGAGTCGTCCACATGTTCTCTATTTAGCTGTAACAGCTGTAAGCGAAAAATTATTTTTTACCCATTTCTGGGCTAAACTCTGACTCACACACATCAGAATACACACCTGGGTAGTTGTTAATGAAGCCCTGGTAGATGCTGGCCAACTCCTCAGCACTGATATTACGGGCAGCATTGGGTGGAGACTTAAAGTCCAGGTCGTACTTGCCCTCGATAAAAAACTCTGAAGCAGCAACATCCATCCCTATCACCACTTTGTCTGTGAAGCCCGCTTTCTCTATGGCTGTCTTTATCAACTCCAGGGCTGCAGGAGAGAAACAGAAAGATGAAAAGTGGCATCACAGGAATACAAAGGACGGGGAAAGGAATGTTTACATGTGGTTGTGCTTACCTTCACTGTTCTCTTGTATATTAGGGGCAAACCCTCCCTCGTCTCCCACATTTGTTGCATCCTGGCCATATTTCTCCTTGATGACACCTCTCAGTGTCTGGTAGAGCTCCGCACCCACACGCAGAGCATCACGGAAAGATTCCGCCCCGACAGGAAGTACCATGAACTCCTGCATAGCCAGCCTGTTACCAGCATGGGAGCCCCCATTGATCACATTAAAAGCCTGAGTGAGGGACAGATATGGGAGATGAGATTGTTTTGGGGCTCTTGTGTTTGTCATTCTCTGCACAATACAAAAATATAGAAGACTCACAGGAACTGGGAGGACCAACTCTCCATTTCCTGCCAGATCAGCAATGTGACGGTACAGGGGGACACCTTTCTCTGCTGCGCCAGCTTTACATATGGCCAGTGATACTCCAAGAATAGAATTGGCCCCAAACTTAGCTGGGAGAAACATAGGCAGTCACACAACACATGGGCGCAGTCAGTAACCACTGGGGCAGAAACATGTCATTACACATATGCCATCAACATACACGAGATGAGGCTTACATTTGTTGTCAGTGCCGTCCATTTCAATCATGATGTTGTCTAGTTTCTCCTGCTCCAACACACTGATTCCCTGAAAGAAGAACAAAATGTCTATCATACAATAGTTCTTCATTTTTCACCATGTTGTTTAGCCATGTCTGCTTAAAATTATTCATATTCTGCACTGCCACTCACCGACTGGATGAGCGCAGGTCCAAGGGTGTCATTAATGTGACCAACAGCCTTGGTAACACCTTAGACAGCAAGACAGAGAGAGAGAGACACACAAGAAAAAGCTCAGCGCAAAAGCAGAGAGGGGACATGAAAGAGACACAGACAATACATCTCGTTCAGTGTTCACCTTTGCCCTTGTAGCGAGTCTTGTCCCCATCCCGGAGCTCCAGAGCCTCGTAGATGCCGGTGGATGCCCCGCTAGGTACAGCAGCCCTGAACAGACCTAGAATAGAGAGGGGATTGGCGGGTGATGAGAGAGGTCCATGTGTAGGGGTGAAAGGTTGAAGCGGTGGCAATGGCAAGAGGATTGGAAAAGGGTAGTTAAGCTTGTGTGAATACACACTTGTGATTTTTCAAGGTTCAGATTAGACAAGGTATACTGTCAAGCCCATTATCAGGCAAAAACACAAATACAGTATGTGAATGATGCTTTTTAATGTTTTTTCTTGTTAACCTTTGCCAGTGTGCAGATCTACTTCCACAGTAGGGTTTCCCCTGGAGTCCAGGATCTCCCTGGCAACAATATTCAGTATGGACATCCTATAAAAAAAACAAGAAACATTACCTTTATTTAACCATTTGTACTGCACATTACAACCCAGCACTCATATACAAAATCTTAAGGACTCCATTTCATTTTCCTTAAAAAAAAACATAAAAAAAAAAAGATAGATGCGTATGAAATTTCAAATGCTACATTTATGCTACACTAGCTACAAGGACTTCACACTCTTCCTGATAATAGTGACGCAGCCTTAGGGATGGAAAGGTGTGGAAAAGATGCTTCCTAGGATGATTGCTGGCACACACACACACACACACACACACACAACCACATTTTCAAAGAGGAGACATATATCAAAAGCTAATAATGCATACCTATTTATTAATCTACTGTCAACCTGTTCCGAACCACAAGCCAGTTCAATTTTCTCTGCTGTTTCAGTGAGAGAAAGAAGACCAATGGAGAGATGAGATGGTGAGTAAGTAAACACAGCGCAGAAGGAAATGAGAAGAGGGAAGGGGGATGGAGTACGTTTTAGAGGGATGGAGGGAATGAAGAAATAGATCAATCTTTTTAAACGTTACCTGCAGCGTGTTTGAAGCCTTGTGGAGAAAGTGAGCGTATGTGGGCGAATGAGAGGGAGACAGAGGGATTGGGGAGGTGGGAGGAGAAGGGGTGAAAACATGACACATAGGGGGAGGGGGAGCATGTGAGTCATTGGAAGATGCAGAGAGGAGGGGAGGGAACGAACGAAACTGGGAAAGGAGAAAAAAATAGGGTGTAAGGAGGGAGAGAGTTGAATAGCAGAGGTTGCACACATTTCTTTTGTTTTAGTAAAGATGCAGGGAAATAACTCGAGGAAAAAGGTCAAAGATGTGTTTTGCACCGTGACTTTACGTTTAACATCATCTTCCTGACTCCCAACAAATCCTGTCATTTGTTTGGTACTGCTCGCCCAGCATACACCTGCTCATCTGCAGCAGCATTCATGACATGTGTGCAGCTACTGTCCCAGCACACTGCTAACATGATAATTGTTGTTGTGGTTGCTGCCAAATCCCGGCAGTGCTGTTATCCTGCAAAGAATGTCATAACTGGCTGAAAAGTAAGGAATTGCTAGAAAAATGGAAATAACATCTGTACACTTCAGATGTGGATGACAGGCAGAAAATGTCAAAGAAACAATGAGGAGGACACATCTAAGCAAAGACAGATGCACCAAAAGAGCTGCCTTGTCGGAACCTTAGAGATCTAATGATGGGGATTAAAGGGGACAAGGAGACAGGTAGACAGGTGACAAGAGCAATGCCTGCTAGAGGGAGGATTTGCATTTAAAAATAGTTGTGGATGTAATTAAAGATCCAGCGAAACACAGGAGGCAGGCAGGGCTATACAGCCTGCTATGGCAGTGATTTGTCAGAAGAGGATGGTTTTCATTGGCTGCTCCACTTTTGAGCTCCATCTGGATGTCACATGACCTGCAGACATGGTGGCATAGGGAAGGGGGAGCACACGAATACATGCAGAAAGGGTGGGGTGTGTGTGTGTGTGTGTGTGTGTGTGTGTGTGTGTGTAAATACAATTACAGAGGAGCAAAAAGAACTGAAATAATTGACAGCTTTAGTTGATTTGAAGCTATAAGTTGATGAGTTGTGCAATTTTGTTAAAAAAAAACACACACATACACAACATGCAATCTCAAACACAACCACAGCAGAGACACATTTTGTAATTATCTAACAATGTTTAATGAACTTTTATTTAGTTAGATTAATTAGTTAACAGTATACAATTCAATTCACTGACACACTAGTGTCTTCACAAACATACAATGGACTGTACAGCAGACGTACTGTATACTGTAGCACTTAAGTGCAGTGGGCAAAAACACATGTCAAGTTTTGAGAATGAGTTATATATATATATATATAGAGTGTAGTTATACCCTATAGTTTGCACAGCGGTGCCATTGTGTGTGTTGGGTGTAACAGTGGAGAGGTACAACTGTAAATGTAACTATCAAGTGTGTGGGGGGTTTGTTGTATGTGTGCATATGTTGTTCATGTAAAGACAGTCCAGTCATATCAAACATTTACGACGGGTAGTTGTGACGTTCATCAACTTCCATCTTCAGCGTGGTTCACAGCATCGGGGGAAATCTTCCCTCAACTCCTTCCATCTGGTCGCCCAAGTGTGACACCTGCAGGGACAATTCAACCAAGACCAGTGTTTTACAACAAATTACAGACAGGCAGATGGCATCAACAGAGCTAAACACAACATGAACCACAGTAGTCTATCCAAAATGGTGGTCCCGGACACACCCACAAAGCCAATTCAGCAGTTAGGTGATCAAAGACAGCTTCCATCAAAAGTCTGTTTTTTATTATATTAAATTTTAGAGTGGTACAGGTAGATGGAAGAGTTGTGAAGTTGTGACCTGCATATTTTCTCTTCTGGCATTTACATTGTTGTGCTACTATTTAACAGACATTCAATACACAATCTGACATTAAAACCAGACCCATCTCGTACACTCTAACATGCAAAGAGCCTTCAACATCACGGTTATTGTAGGAGCGCAAATTTTTACCATAACGTGCCAGTTTTATATCATCAGACATCATTATGTCTACTGTGTCTTGGAGGCTTGAGGATTACTCAAACCAGAATACCTGGAGCTCTATTTACGAGGTTCAGTTATGTTAAACTGATCTACCAATAAAAAGTAAAAAACATCCAAATGTAAAATGACACCCACGTCTTGCGTTAACTGAAACATAAAAGTTTTTAAGCCAAGTGACACCCAACTCATCACTTTCTGCACCTGCTTCAAATCTAAAACCGTCTCTCCTCTGGGAGGTTTTTATTATCTGGATGGTGTTGTCTGATTGGTGGTGTTGTCTGCTTTTATTGTCTCTCTGCAGAATTTTGTCCTCATGATGAACTGTGTTAAAGGTTTTGTTTTACTAACTTGTTACAGGAAGCCATAAAAAACACAACTTTATGTTTCAGATGTGCAGAGACGACATTGTTTCATGTACAGTGAGGGAATAAAAGCAGACATTTAAAATGAAGCCCGACCCATTTAGATGTACAACCTGCACATTTTAATGCCGATATTGATATTCATTTTTGAGAGTTTTAAAAATCCGATAATATATTGGCTAAAATTTATATATTTTAAATCATAAACATAAAACATTTTTGCTTTGAATCCATTTTTTAAAAATGTGCCCAAGATATGTATTGAGCAAGACATTTTACAGTAAAAAAATAAACAGTCAGTGTGTAATGGTGACAATTAGAGAAGCACCTAAAGATTATTTTTTAAATTTACTTAACTATAATATTTTCAATTAGTCGATTATTCTAATGACTAATTTATTGATTATTCTAAAGATTTTTTTATTTTTACTATTACTCAATTTATATTACAATTAATTTATCCAAATAAATATAAAAAATGTGTCTAATTAATAATTAAATATTTTATTCAGTCATCATCCTGAAAGAGAAACACATAAAGCACATTTCAATAATGACAGTAATGGCATATTTTAAAGTGTGTCTAATTTCCACGTCACTGCTGTGTTATGCTATTTATAATAATAACAGTCCCTATTTGATCCCTGATCAGAAAAAAATGGACCTCAAATTGAAAAGGATTGCTGTGGCACACAGATTAATTAAATTGGATGGTTCCATTTCATCACTGAAGTAATATGCAGTAAGATAATCGCAGGCAAATTTACAGTAAAAAGTAACAGTCTGTAACGTTTAAGCTATTTTCTCACACAGTGGCCATTAAACGTTTAAATAAACAGAAAATAGAAAACAGCTAAATGTTAGATGACACATGGTGTAATGTTACCATAACAGCAGCGGGGAAGAAATTACTTATAACATGTAATCAATTTCAGGTGACTACTCACAGAGACATGTTCCTCGTGTTGATAATTCTAATATATCGTGCTTATGTGGGGACAAAAAGTAAACACGGTGCTGTCTTGCTGCCATCTTGACAAAGTGCTCTGGGATGATTTTGCTTCACATGTAGGTGCTGCTTTAAGTGTTGGTGCACAGGGGAGCGCCACGTTGTTGGGTCCAAAATACTCCCAAACTTTATATGGTCGTAAAGGGAGATTTTTAAGCTGCAGCTTTTTTCCCTGGGGGAAATGCCTGCTTTGACTGGTTGTAGCACTTAATTACAACGTGCCAACACACTTTCTGCAAATCGAAGTATTTTTGTAAGTGATGATGTTGATGAATCACCCAAGGCGTAGTGACAAAGTTGCAAAAATAATTTCTGTACTACAATTTCTTGTTATCTATTAGCCAGCATATACGGCAAAACAAAAATCCATGTATGACTATTTCTTCTTCATCTTTATGTAAATTGTGTGTAACGTTAAGAGCAACGTCAAATTCCATAGATTAGCCAGATAATAGCCATGTCAATGTAATAAGTATTTTGTTCCCTCACTAAACCCGGCGAGAGAGTCAAAGCTGTAAATACTCAATGCTCTTGTTCTTACCTCTCACCAGTCATAACGTGGACGGGTGTGGGGCTGGCGGTGTCTGGGGGACTCGTGCCGATGGCCCGGTGGGGTCGTTGAGCTGGGAGGGGCAGTAAGGGCCAGCTGCTGGCCTCCTGCCCGTCGATCCCGGCCATACTCCAGCGCCCGGGCAGTCGGGGGAACGTATCTTCCTGCCTCCCTCCTCCACTCCTCATCGAATGCTGCAGCGTCAGCTAGTGGGTAGTAACAGAGGGCAGGTTGTTAAGTTGCACAATTAACATCTATCTAATGTCACTGTAGCATTATCAACTAATTAATTAAAAGACATTACCTCCGTTTCTTGTTAAGCCAGACAAATTGTTGTACTTCTTTGAGTACTCCCTCCTCCTCTAATCATTAACAATTTTCTTTCTAGCCCATTGACTCACTCTCATCAAGGTTAATGAAGTCTTGTCGTTCCTCGCGGTCTCCAGTGCGGCGATTTCGTGAACGCTCCATTATGTGTGCACGATCCCCAATGTGGTGGCCGATGGCGAGACGCTCGAGGCCGCTCTCACTGTCCCTCATTGACTGCCGCGTCTCACGGATCTGAGGTGAAAAGTGACCCAGTACTAAGACAAGCAGGATGCTCTGTACTCTGATTGAAATGAATGAATTTATATACCAACTATGATATTTATAGTGGCCATGATCTATTTATTGTCACTACTATTACTAGTGATTTTATGTATTAATGAGGCCAGAAGGACACAGTCATGTCTGGACTAACAAAGCATGAAGGCCACATGTCCAGTGAGGCTTTGGGAGGCTGAGGAAAATAATCAGGTCTACTTTTATGACACCCACCAGGCCTCCCTACATGTACTGTAATCATTTCAACAACCGTAAGTTACTCTCACCCCTCCGGGGCCTGTTCTCGTTTCACTGGTCTGCTGATAAACTTCAGGAGCCCCTAAATCTGAAGAGGAGTAGGAGATAACTGTCGACGAGGAAAACGTCTGACAGTTTGGTGAACCGGACATTCTTTCCTACGAGAAGAAAAATAAAAAGTTAAGATAGAAGGGCGGATGGAGTCCTGGTCAGATACGACTTTCATTCATGAGGACAATTGCTTCTGTTGATTTGAAATTGGCTGAGACAGCTACTCACCACATTTCCCATCATTTCTCCCATCATTCCAAACATATCCATGAACCCTCCACCCTGCGGAAATAAATTAAAAGGAGATCTTTAAAAATTCTCATTTGATGAAACATCAAGTGTAAACAGAGTGGTACACAACAGCGTTCATTGTCAGTTCAGTGCCCCTGGGGTCTTCCTTTCAGCCCCACAACCTTACTTTCAGAGCAAAATGATCCATGAACTCTTTTGTGGCAGAGAAAAAAACATCATGTAATCACATTCTTAAATGACAAAGCATGAATGGTTAGCCTTTTCTCCAGTGATCACTGATGATTATGGTAATAAGGTGAAAAACGACAAGCACAGTTCAAGTACATAATGTGTACTCATCTTTTCTCACCTCAATGTCCATATACTTTTTGGCCATATTAGTATTTATGCAAACTCTGCTAAACCCAAACTAATTTGAAACCTAATCTATACCATACCGGAACCTTTTTCAAATCCTAACCCTGGTTCATTTAATCACAAACCAGAATACCTGTAGACTGCTTTTCACACAATACTGTCCTTTCCACCTGAAGCTCTTTTTGATGACTCTGTCAAGTCACTTGATAGTACATGTGTAATCTGTAATATTAAAAGACACTTTTAGACATATAAGTTCAACTTTTAGCAGGTATTGAAGGAGGTCGTAGAAGCAGATACTCACCATTCCCATCATGCCAAAGGGGGTCAGCTGATTAGCCTAGAAGAAAATGTACAATTTTAAACACAAAAACAAACAGATAAACTAATGTGGATACCAAACACATAAAACCTACAGCACACATGAATACAGTCCATTGACATAGCAGACCATTACCTGTCTGCGTGGTGCGCGGGGTGGCTGTATCTGGGGGGCGAGGGCAAAGGGGTCCATGCCAAATGGTCCAAACAGAACCCTCATCTGCTGCCTGTGAGCTGCAAATGGATCCCTAGAAGAAATCAGATTACACTGAAACGTATTTGACTTTTTGTGAATTGACTGGGTGTAACTGAGAGACTAAACTCACATAGAGTGAGCTAAAATAACATGGGGAGGGACTGAAACTGTGGAATATAATTACTGTATGTATGACTGTAAACTTGTTAATTAATTCTTTCATATATCAATCATGATTTTTTCATAGATTGTTTTTTATTTTCAACAGATCCTGTATGACTGTTTGAGGAATACATTTTGATTGAGAGATTTCTTTTGTTAACAGGAATATGGGTTTGCAAAACAAAATTTGCATCAGAACCAGTATCAAACATTTTTAAACAATAATACACCCTACATATCACTTGTAAAAGGTTTTTCTGGAGTGCCTCTTCCTGTGAAACCAGTGAATGATTTAGAGTCTAAGAATGCAGCTAACAACTGTTTTCAATTCTGATTAATCTATATCGTATCTTTTCAATGAATCAAAAAAGTCTATAAAATGTCAGAAAGTAATGAAAAATGCCCAGAACAAGTTCCCAGACAACAAAACATTGATTTTACCATGACATTAAAACAGACAAAAAAGCAAATCCTCACATTCAAGAAGCTGAAACCAGTGAGTGTTTGGTATTTTTACTTTACAAAGTAAGTATCCTTGTGTTTTAGACTGTTGATTGGACATAAAAGACATTTGAAGACACCTTGGTATTTTTTTTACTCTTGTCTGACATTTTACAGACAAATCAGTTAACCGAGAAAATAATAGGTAGATGAAATTATAAATTAAAATAAAAATTAAATGCAGCCCTGGACTTTATAAAAATTGCAATATGTTGTTGACCCTGACTTGTTCTGATATCATAAACTAGTGCTAATGGTGTGACAGGTGGTGCACATGCTGGGGGCCCACAGTACCCCCTTAGAGAGCCACCAAGATTTTAGTAGGATTGCATTATTTCAAACTAATAATAAATCTTGTGGGTCTTGGTGCAGTAAATCTGTAAAAGGGGTGCTGATGTATCGAACCCCTTCAACTCAGTTTCTTGTGAATGCATATTAATGTATATTTATTTTTGCAAAGGGTAGGGTGGTCAACATATTTCAGTTTCATGCATTTGTCATGTATGGGATACTCTTCAGGTAATGGTATGTAAAGTTGCTCCCGCACCTAGTCTAGAAAGCCAATTGACACCTGCCATCAATTAGCTAAATCTCAATCTCAAAGCTATTTGGGAAACAACGGGAAGTTACACGTGTATTAATAATTGGCAGTTTTAGCTATGCTAGCTACGAGATTAGTTAACAAAGTCCTGCTGAGCTCTGACAGCTTTTTTTGTTATTGTCTATCCAATATGGTGGACCTCTGTAGGCCCCCACAGCTGGCTGGAGTAACGTTAGGTACCTGCTTAAAGCACAGTGAAAAAATGTGATTAAGCGTGCCAGTATGTAGATTTTCTTGCAAAACAGAGAAATAACACTGTCTGAGCAACATTTAATTACTGTCAATACTTACATCATGTAGGGGTCGTCATCAACGTCATTCAGGAACCGAAACATGCTAGGTGATTTAACTCAGCTGGCTGATGCTAGCCAGCTAGCTAGGTAAACAGTCGTGTTTTTCAAGGATGAAACAGAATGACGGACTCAAACTCTAAACAGGCTGAAATGGGGAACCTTTTTTCCAGCCCCGTCACGAAAATACTAAATCGCTGCTACTGTTTATCAAAGCGACAGATAGCTCAGTCTTCCTAGATAGTAAATTCCAGAAACCTGGACCAAACATGAAAACGGAAGTCGGTCCTCTGACAAAGAGAAGCGACGCTATGATCAATTTAGCATCCCAGCTAACAACCGCGACCTCCGGTCTCTTTATTTTTCAAAATAAAGTACTTCCCTAGAGACCTTCACAGCAAACTTTTTCACATAATGTCATGACTTAGGATGTGAAAGTGTAAACAAAAATATAACAAAAAATATTACATTTTACTAATAAAGCATACCATAATAAACTTAAATTTTGGAATAGAGTTTTGTCTAAAGAAGTAGAGTTTAATACAACAGATACCAAAATAGCAGTATGCTAGGCCTTTTTTATAGAAGATATTTTGATTAAGGAAAGTAAATGTGTTATTACTTACATTAATGATGGCTTGTTTTATTCCAGTGTTCCAGTAAGCCATGACAGTGTGAGCAAGTGTGTACAACACCAGGGCCCTGAAACTGAAGCATTAAAATGGAATTAATAATAATAACTTTATTGCAGACACAGGTCCATATAACACATCATACAGTACACAATACAAGGAAATACATAAATAAAAAATACATGCATAAAAATTCCATATTAGCCTAGGATATACAGACTATTGCACCAATGTCGTCTTAACCTAGAAGTGAATCTATAGCGGCTTTTCAGAGGACTGACTAGGGCTTCAATTATAGTCAGAGAATCACTCTGACTTGTCCAGGCGACACATAAAACTAAACATCAGTTGTCTTAAGAGTGCCTCCCAAGTTGGCACTCTAGTAGACACTCTAGTAGACACAAACAAATGATTAGCAGTATGCCACCTAGGGACACGAAGCAGCAGCATACTCTTTTTCTTATAGTTAGACCACAACTGAGCAGTATATAACGGTGTAATGTAGATTCTAAACAGAGAGCACTTCACACGGTCAGAACATATGGAAACCTTCCTTATAAGTACATTAGTTTGAGAATAAATTTTACAGCGCTGACGATATAGTTCTTTGTCATCCCTCCAGTCATTAGATATGACATGACCTAAATATTTAACTTCCTCAGCAAGAGGGCTATCTGACAAATAAAAGGTCGGGAAAGTTGAATTCCTGTCCTCATCGCTTCTAACTATCATTATGTGACTTTTCTTAGCATTATACTTTATGTCATAATCAAGGCCATACTGAGAGCACACCTTCATCATCTGCTGAAGCCCAGCACTATATGGACATAGCAGGACCAGGTCGTCTGCATACATAAGATGATTAACAACAGTGTTGCCCACAAGAAAGCTAGTTTTTAACCTATTTAGCTGGTCTGATCATTCATCCATAACTAATTAATATTTGCATCATTCATTTTATCATTTACACCTGTACTTTCCCTACTGTGACATGTGAAAACTCCTTCTTATTGAAAAAGGCCTATTGCGGCTGCATTACCAACTGGGAAAGCGGGTAACTGGCCCTGGAGCCCTATGCGGGTCCAATGCTCCTGTTTGTGATAACTTGTTTGCAGGACTGGACAGGGACAAAAAATCGTCCCAGGCATTTTTGGCCGAGGCAGCCCACCAAAATCGGTCGGTCCATTGATCCATTTAGGGGGTCAGATTAGGGGTATGATGAAACACTGAGACACAACATTTGCACAACTTTGCAATGACAATGCAGATGTTTCTTTTATATTTACATTGCATTGCAGGTTTTCTTATTGTGCAAATAAACCTTTCTCATAGCATTTTCATTTGTTAATCAACATTTCTTGGTGCAAGCCATTTTTCAGAACATTTTTAACAAATGCTTTCAAAAAGTGGTGGCTACATGTCCCCAGCGTCCCCACTGTAAATGACCCTCCCTCCCTGCTCCCTTGTAGGTTGAGCTACTCCATGCTTACCGCTTCACCTCCACTCTCCTCCTGCTCTCTCTCTCTCCCTCGGCCCTTTCACTTTGTCCTTCTTTTTCGCTAACACACGCCTCCTCCTCTGCCAGGCAGTGGCCACCACAGCTCTTTTACTCCTTCAAGTGCTGGGGCTGCTCTATGCAGGGTACTGCAGCTGATGTTGAAGCTACCGCTGCCCCGGCAGCAAACACATCGGTTGTTTTCGCGCATTTGGCGGCAGCCGTCTGAAGGGGTTTCTTTGGCCCGTAACACAAGAAACAGAGAGCAGAGGGGGTGGTGGCTAGTAAGAGATGTGATTGGGCCTGCACAATGTCAGTATAGAAAATTACTCAATGGGCCGCTGTCCATGCTTTATGGGCCGATCGTTGGCCCGTTTTTTAAAAGCAGTTATATAAATAAATAATTTACGTTACACCGCCCCCAAAGGCAGGCATTTGCCTGATTACCTGTTTGGTAATAGCCTACTGTACAGTAGCCTATGTGCCATTAAAGCAGAAAGTAATCAGAATCAGAATCAACTTTATCAGCCAAGTATGTTGACACATACAACAGACTGGTTCACAGTAACTCTTGACACACTTATACACTGTGCAGAAAAAAAGAGGATAAAACTAGATTATTATTATTATTTATTATTATTATGTTATGTGCATAATAATGCACAATGTTTGTTAAATTATTATACATGTATGCTGTAAAACTTTTTAACATCCTATATTTTAATTTCTTTAATCAAATAGCAAGCAACGTTGTTACAGTTTTTCAATTGCTAACAAGTGTCGGTTAAAACTGAAACCACTTTTTCAAAACTCTTCATACAGTCTACATTTTCAACATGTGTCTTGGCCAAACAGTCAATCTCACTTCCAAAGATTCATTTAAACCACCTGTGATGGGTAGGCTTTTGGCCTAGCAATGCCACAATCAGTTTCGACCTCTCAGGGAAGCTCCACACACCTGGCACACACCTGAAGACCAGTGCCTCTTTAAGAGCTGATTTACAGGGAGCCCTCAGGACCTCTTTTGAGGCATTGTCTTTTAGTGTGGTTAGGGAGCAGGTATGTCTTCTGGAAGGTTTCATCAGGGCTGACACTATTAACTTTTATGAACATGATTTAATTTGTTTTCATTACAGGCATTTGAAGCCACCTGTTGTGCAGACCTTGTGGACTGCATAGCCTGTTGTGCTAGAATTCACAGCAGAGATGGCATTGGAGGTTGATAACCCAGAGGTAAAAAGATGCTATCTAGAACTATACAATTTTACTAGTGTGTTTATGGGTGACCTGTGGTTTACATTGCAGTTGCATTAAACGTCACGTCCGTAAATGAGGTGGTGTCAGAGCGGGGTTGATTATTTACTGCATTGCTTGAGGTAAATATCAACTACCAACTATTACAGTGTTTTTGGACCCTCTTTTAAACGAGATGCTGCATCTCAAGGGGCTATTCACTAATAAAATTGAAATTGAAATTAAAACCCCCTGCATGTCTGCCTTCTGTAGATGCTGATGTGTTAACAGTTTGCTTTTATCCTTTACCATCCCTGGCAGCGTTGACATCTACATCTTGTCTGTTTTTAGAATTGTTTGAGTTTGTCTAGTGAATAAAATTGCCCAAAACCTGATATTTAAATATTGTTTAAATCACCCTTCCAGTTGAAACCCATGTCTCTGATTTTTATTAATTGTGGGGAACCTATGGCAACTGTTAGATATTTGGGGATTTAAATCCCTCACCACTTGCCTCAGTTACACACCAAAACATTTCATACATATATCAAAATAAACTCGTTCATCTAAACACTGGCAACAATTCTCACTCAGAAAGCAAACAATGTCACTCATAACACACACACACACATTAAAAAAAAACAACCCGCTAATATGTTTAATGCAAACTTTTTTATATATATATATACAGAAGTTTGAGTTTTCAGTAAATCAGTATTTAATTTATGAATAAGAATAACATATTCACTTTGTAAACTGTACTTAAGTATATGTAACAAATGAATCAGAAATGTCCTTCAATATCCTTTATTTTTCTATATCATTGCATGTAGTAATTTACTTGTGAAAAAAGTGAAACCCAAAAACCAATTCCTACTACATTCAGTGTGGCAGAACAGTTTCTCAGTTGTTTCTACAGTAACACTAAAACCTAAAATGCCCACAACATGTAATTCATGTATCAACCCTGTGAAACTGTCAACTAAAATACAAGCACATTTCCTGCTTTACACTCAGACTGCAGTTCGAAACCACACTTTGTTCAAAGCACTGAACACATTTCTCCACGCAGATGAACATAAACAAAAATTGCACACACATATTCTGCTAAGATTTTTTTTTATGTATTTCAGTCTGGTTAGCAGCAAATGCAGGACATTTACCAACATTCTATTTGAATGTGTTTTTACAGTTTTTCAATTGCTAACAAGTGAACAACTGAAGCCACTTTTTCAAAATGCTTCATACAGTCTGCATTACCGACATGCATCTTGGCCACAACTGTAATCTCACCTCCAAAACTCACTCAAACCACCAAAACACTTCATACATGTCTCAAAATAAGCTTGTTCAACCAAACACAGTCACTGATAACACACTGACATTGTAGATTACACAAACGATGCATTTTTATCTTTGACATTTGAATGATTTTTCACATAAATCAGTATTTCATTATAGAAGTAGAATAACATATTTTCACTGTTTTGACTGTACTAAAAGATGTAACAAAAACAAATCAGAAATACAGAAATTTGCTATCTTAAAATACCTTTTACAGTATTTTCTCTACATCATTGCATGTAGAAACTGACTTGAAATATAAAAAGAAACAAAAACAAATTTCAGTGCTGCAGTACAGTTTTTCCTCCGTTGTTTCTACAGTAACACTTGAACTGAGACACAGTGACCACAACCTGTAATTCCTGTACCAACCCCCTGAAAAAAATCAAACACATTTCCTGCTTTACACTCAGATTGCAGTTCTAAACCACACTTAGTTCAAAACACTACACACAGTTCTCCATGCATGTCAATATTCTGCTAAGATTTTCTATATATTCCAAGAAATTTAACAACAGTTAAATAACAGTTTACAGTTTTGGATGTAGTTTGTTAGCATTTGATTTTGGAGAAAGTGGTAATTGAATGCAGTTTGTGAAAGCAATGAAATATGATTCACTCTGACACATTTATGCAAATTATTATGTACAATTGTCTGCTGTTTCTTACATTACCAATTGCTTATGTCATGTTAATCACAAATTATAATGGTTCTCTGTTGAATAGTCTTACTTCCACAAACATTTAGACATAAGTTCATTGTATAAGTCACTACATGCAAATTGGTTGCACACATTGCCATAATCTGTTGAGCAGTTTCATTGAGAAGTTTCTTGTAAATGTGTCGTGAATTGATGAAGACAGTCTCGTCTTTTTCTTTTTTGCATCATAGTGACATGCTCTGTCAACAAATCACAGTACATACAGCAAAAGCTGTGAATACTGTCCAATCTCTTGCAATGTGTTACTTTACTTTTTTGTAAAGTTGTGTGCTTCTGTAGGCTACCTTTACTTACAGTTTTTCTCGATCGATTTGGCACATTTACTGAAACAAACTTACAATTGTCAAAACTCTATGTACAATCGTCACACCATGTGGTCCATTCAGCACACCCCTCTATGACCTGCGACAGGTGATTACTCAATCAAAAGAATGAACTTATGTTTCAAATACCTAAATAATTGTAATCAAAACCAAAAAGAACAGGACCATCAAAATGCAAAGACGTCTTGTCAAATGACAAGCATGCGCTGAAAGTGTGATGGCTACCCATTATGTAATATTTTCCAATTGCTAACATTGTATATTTAGGCAGCTTAATAGTATTGATGTCAGCTATGGCACAGACTGTACTTTAAATAAAACATTTCTGTATTTGACAACACTGTGGACCGGCCCAGATTAGGCTGCACTCTGTCATACTTACACAATGGTTGATTAATTTAGGCTACATGGTCTCTAATTGTTGCCTATATCTCATTTGAGATTTCTGTGTCTTTACTTTTCTCTGGCTCTTCCTTGTCCTCATGCTCCATATTCCACAGCTGTAACATCTTACAGCTCTTGCAGTATAATTATGTTTGTGAACTAATTGGTTATGAGTTTTACCTGCAAGCTAAATTGGACAGCAGTTGCGTTCAATTGCTCTAAATTGTGAGGAAATTAAATTGTTCCACATCTAGCCAAAGTCTATCCATCTGACAACTTTTATAACAATACCACATAACTGTATCTAATATGTGTGACAGGTTCTTGTGATTGTTGGTCACTCTATTTAGCATTTAGGGATTTACACAATGAATGTGTATAATTGCATTTAAGAGAAATATGATTTAATAGTGAACAAATGCAAAATATTTTAATCGGCAAGGCTTACTTAGTAGCAAGCAACTCAAGCAACTATAAATGACTAGAGTCGTAAGAACAACTGACCTAATGTTCATATTGTTTGACAAAATGAAGGTCATTTGACCAAAGCTATTGAGGAAAAGTGTAAATATTTACTTACAGGATGTGAATACGCCTTCCACTACTTTAGATAAGTTCTCTCTTTATTTAGACAGGCAGATAGACTAAATGTCCTGCTGTGTGCGGTTCTGTCCAGCAGGCGGCGGTGTTTCTATCTACGTCGGTTGCTGTGGCTCGTCTGCTCTGCGGCTGCGCGCAAAGTTATTCGACCCTCAAACCCGGATGCAACCAACGCCTAACCTGTCTGAAGAAAAACGGTGAGTGCAGTTGTAAAAAACTGTCTGAAATAACTATTTATGGTTAACTACAATATGGTACGGACGTAGGAGAGTCCCCTTAACAATATTAAGTCTCTTCCGAGAAGAAACGCTTGTTCGTTGGTTTGATAAATTCGCGAAGTGTTAAGTTTCCCATGAAGCTCAGTTTAGTGTTGGCTAATATCAATCTGGGTAATGAAGTTGTCACAGTTGTCACTTACCATCGCTGGTTGTGCGATTATTTCCTCGTGTTTGTTATAGATTGAGCTGTTGCTAGATTAGTAAATAAGCTAACTAAGGCAACAATCTGACACTGCAACGTTTTTCATTTTCTCACTTAATAAATCTGAGCTTATACTTATCTACAGTCAGGCTCAGCTTTAGCTCACTGCTCGTTTTATGTTAGCTTCTACATTTAAAGTTTCAGTTTTCAGCCCTGACTTTGTCCGAGGAACTGCTTATTTAGCGGAAGTGTTGGGCGGTATCCGTTTCTAAATTACATTAAGCTAATAGGCCGTCGTTTTTTTTCACCCATGGTATGTAACCTATGCGGAAGTGCTTCACTGTCATTAATACTCTTTTGCACGCACATGTAATAACAAGCTTAGTACAACAGATGTGAATTCTACCACCGTTATTTGTCAGTGAGATCTTTTGTAAACAACAAAATGGGAATAACGTTACATAAAGTCAAGTGAGTACCTCAAAGCTGTATAAAGTGAATGGCTAATTGAGGAGTTGTGCTTGTCCCATCTTCTGTGTCTGTGTCTATATATTTTCCCTTTTTCTCTATAGAGAGAGAGAGATATAGATAGATATTATATGTGTGTGTGTGTGTATATATGTATGTGTGTGTGTATTTGTATGTGTAAATATGTGTGTGTGTGTGTGTGTGTGTGTGTGTGTGTGTATATATATAGTTTTAGCAAGGTGTACCTAATAAACTGCCAACTTTAAACTGAAATATTTAGTAACTGTTAACTAAATGCAGTGGGGGAAAGTACTTCATATATTGTATTTGTATATAACACTGTAAAAATGTGTACACGGAGTAAAACTTGTAACAGTATCTAAGTATTATTAGCAAAAACGTAAGTATTAAAAGTAAATGTAGTCAAACAAAATGGCCTCTGTGAGTGTTATAGTACTGTGTATTATATTTTTTGATTACCAATACCCTCTATCAGTGTCTGTCTGGTATACTGTATTCGCCGACACTCTTGTGACGTTTCCTATTTTCTCTTTATCCCTGTAGATGCAGACTATAAAATGTGTAGTGGTAGGGGACGGTGCAGTAGGAAAGACCTGCTTACTGATCTCCTACACAACCAACAAGTTCCCCTCAGAATATGTGCCTACGGTAAGAAGATTTAATAAAAGCTGTGTCATGTTTAGAAGTACTGCATGTCGTAAACACATTTACTAAGAAACACTTTTTCCTTTTAATATTTCTTCATGGCTGAAATACAATGCAATCAAACATGCTGCCTTTTGTTTTTTCTCACATGATTTGTCCTTTTTTGTGTGTGTGCTTGAAGGTTTTTGACAATTATGCAGTGACTGTGATGATTGGGGGAGAGCCCTATACGCTTGGCCTGTTTGACACAGCAGGTAACATGAATGTCTTTGAAAGTCTGTCTTTTTCTCTCTTATTTCTGTCACTTGAAACAAATAGAAAAACTTCCCTGTTTCTGTTGTGATCGTTGTTCTCAGGTCAGGAGGATTATGACAGGCTGCGTCCTCTCAGCTATCCACAGACAGATGTGTTCCTCGTATGTTTCTCTGTTGTCTCCCCCTCATCATTTGAAAATGTCAAAGAGAAGGTCAGTCAACTGTTTCACTGACTAGGGAAAAACATGACCTTAACTTTTGTTGTTAAATGTATCTGTGGTGCTGGTTTGCAGAATTTCTTTGACAGACGTGTGGGGTTAGGATTATTTTCTCAATTAGTTGATCAATTGTTAGGTATATAAAATTTCAGAAAATTGGGGGGGGGGGGGGTTTCCCAAAGCTCAAGATGATGTCCTCAAATGTCTTGTTTTAGCCAAACCCCAAAGATATTCACTTTACTGTCAGATGAGTAAAGAAACCAGAAAATATATGCATTTAAGAAGCTGGATTTAGATAATTTTTCTTAAAAAATCACTTGATTATAGACCTGTTAATCAATTATCAATATAGTTGCCAATTAATTTAATAGTTGACAACTAATAAACTTTTCAATTAATTGTTGCAGCTGTATTCCAGACATAAATATTTCTTTTACAAAAGTAAAAGTTCTAAAATATTAAATGTTTTATAAGTACAAATAACTGAAAAAGAACGTTCTTTGCATATAGTACCCAGACTTAGATGTGACCAGGAAGGATGAAAACATGAATTTAATCCTTGTACCTTTTTTATTATTTTTTATCCCCAGTGGGTTCCTGAGATTTCTCACCACTGCCCACGCACACCTTTCCTGTTAGTGGGTACACAGATGGATCTGCGGGAAGATAGCAACACGGTCGAGAAGCTGGCAAAGAACAAGCAGCGCCCCCTATATCCTGAGAGTGGAGAGAAGCTGGCTCGTGAGCTGAAAGCTGTCAAATACGTGGAGTGCTCTGCTCTGACACAGGTATGGTACACTGCAACTGAAAGCAACATATTTGTTAAGTCAGGCAATAATAACTGACAGTATTAAAATGTTCGCTCTGTCTTGTTCTGTTCTGTAGCGAGGGCTTAAAAACGTGTTTGACGAGGCCATCCTGGCAGCCTTGGAGCCTCCTGAGACCAAAACCAAGAGAAAGTGTGTCCTGCTATAGATGAACAACAACAGTGAGAGACGTAACGGTGTGAGAAATAGGCGGGGTGAATCAAATCATCAGAAAGATCAATGGCCATTATGAAAAAATGGACAAAACAAAAGGGGAAGGGAGGTACAGTGCCATTGAGACTTATTCTAATACAAGTGTACACTGATTGTGCCTTCAAAATAAACTTTGAAAGATGCTGAGGGAATAAAACTTCAGCATGCAGTAAGTGTCACCTAACTCCTTTTCTGAAAGCTTTTAAAATTGCAGTGTTCTCTCTACAAATATTGAGGTGGGGCGGGCCCCCCCTGCCTGTCACTGTTGCTCCATTTCTTTTTTTAAGCAAATATTCTTTTATCTAGCCACTTTTGGCCTCCTCTGTGTTTTACTTATTTTGGCGATTGGGGCTTTAAAACCCAGTGTAGGGAAACACTTTTAACATTAAGTTTTTTAGTGAACTTTGGTAAGGGGCAACTTAATGTTAAGTGGTTCTCTATTAGCTTTCTTTTCTGACCCTTTTGGATTGAATAATGAAAGCACAAGAGATTTGTTGTCACTCCAAGCAAAGGTAGATGTCTGTAATACTTTCTTTCCAGTTCCCCTCCTTCTGGGGAGGCCAAGTGCATTTCCACAAATTTCCCTTCTTTAGTGGACTTATGAATTTCTATTTTATTCTTCTTTTGTGTATATTGTATTAATTCTGTGACTCTGTTTTGGGAAACTTTTAGCAGTTATTCCTTTTGAAACTTGAGTTTTTATTTTATCAAGATTTTTTTTTTTATTGCTAGACTGCCAACTTTGAGCAATTGATAATATAACAAATTAAGTTTTAATATTTTGAATAGATCTTAATTGTGTTAGATTGAGATGTTAACCTTTTGCTAGTAAATTTCTGGGTGTTTGTAATCACAGGATATTTTTAATAAAATGGTTCAAGGACATGGAAAGCAGCCATTATTTTGTATGTTTGAAGGACAATGCTCAACGAATCATAAGGGAGATCATTCTAGTTAACCATGTACTACACACTTGCTTCTGCCATCATAATACAAAAACATGTACAAATATAAAAGAAACAAACCGTGAACGTCTCCAAAATACGTGTTTTAAACAGGGACCTGTTCAGCAAAACATTGCTCCATAGTGCCTCTAGTGGTGAAAAACTCCACAGGGTACCTTTAACTTTGCAGCTAACCTATGTGCCTTTATGCTGCGTTCTAGTCACAGTTGGAGGTGAATATTTCCCAGTGGAAATTTCCAAAGTCCGCCCTGAATTGTTCCAGGTGCATGACGCCAAACACGAATGAAAAACATGCCTGATCTTGAAAAACTGATGTTTCTTTGTTAAATGATGTGTTGACATTAATTTACATACAGAACAGGTGTTACTATATGATAGTATGCATTATTTAAAAGAAATACAGGCAAATATACTTTATGTTGCCTTTGAGTTGATGGTTTACCATTTACAATATGTACTTCCCTGGGTGCTGCCATAGTTTTGTGATGTCAGAGAGCTGCCTCTTCATGAAGTCAGGGTAGACGGATTTACGCCGAATTTACCTGTAGGAACTCCAACTTTGAGTGGCGTACTTTTTCCAGTAGGAGCTCGGAAAGTCGAGTACAAAGTTGTCTGGAATGCAGTATCAGTCGGGAATTGACTGAATTGGCAGTTTGAAAATATCTTTTACATGTCAGGTCAATAAGAAACTCAAACACATATTTTGGATAAAACTACTGTATTTATTAGATTTTTTTTTGAACAGACCTAAAAGCACTGCTTGTGCAGGAACATGCAGAAGAGTTTCACATGATGGTGAGGGACAAAACACAAGACAGACACTGAAGTAAGTAAAAGTTATTCTTCCTATTTAAGAGGTCTCTGCTGGAAGCTGAAGTAAAGCAAAAACTTAAATAAATAAACCAGAATAGAGAAGAAGACATAAATACAGTAAATGTTCAAAGACCTGCTAGTCTATGAGACATAACGCGAATAGTTTGCATAAAATAAAGAGTGCTGTAATGTTTCCCTGTTAGTCCTGGTTTAGTTCAGCTTTAAAAGCTTTTGTTAGTTCAGTGAGAGATTAACTGTTCATTAACTGTTGTGTTCATGTGAATTTGTGTGCACGCATGTCTATGTCTGTGCCTGTGTGGCCACCTGTCCGCCTCTGAAGGTGATTTTAATTTATACCAGATGTACTTGATGCTTTATCATTGTTTTTGTCTACATTGCTTTGTTTTTACATGTGTTCTAACTTTGCAGCGTTTACAGAAGAATCCTCATACATAACTCGCCTCACTGCTTCAGTCGCAAATGAATTAAATTAAGAAAATTTGGTGCTAAATGTGTGAATTAAAGACTGTTATTGTCTATATTCTTAGACCATGTTGTGTTCAAGAGTGGTGGTGTGGTGGTTTGTTCGGGTCTTTCTGCGCAGGCAGTTTGGTCTTTTTTGGGCCCTCTTAGACTCTGCAGGTGTGAATGGTGACTGTGTTCTTGCACTGCTGGCAGCGGACTGAGCAGCACCAGGAAAACTTGCAGGAGCAGCGCTGCACCACTTCAGCCCGGCCTGCCCTGTAGCCCGGTCCACAGCACACCAGCTCACAGCCATCTGGTGCCAGCCGAGAGGTTCCTTGGGGTATTATTAGAAGAGAGCAATGTAATTTTTCAGTAATTGTTTTGATTGATAAATTGGATTATCTGGATTGATATCCTGTGAGATGATCTTTACATTGATCTTACCGTTACATCTCCTACCAGCAGTTCCAGGGATACCGTTGTCAGGGTCGAGATGGCAGAAATCTGGGGAGGGCGCAAGGTACACAAGGTCTCTGGCAGCGGGGGGTTTGACCTGCGGATCACGGGGGAGCAGCGCTGTCCTGGATCCAATACGAGTCAGGCGAACCTAAGAGAAGGATGATGTTGAGAGAGCTACACAGACTGAACTTTCAAGGTTTCAGATGAGTTTCTGATTAAGTATCCGCTTCAGGTTATGTGACTTCATGTGTTCACCAACTGAGCTGAAAGAAGCGCAAGGGTGTATTCTGATACCTCTGTGGCTCCATCAAAGCGTTCCTTGAGCACAACGCTGACCCGCCTGAATGGAGGCATAACCTTCCAGCAGGTCCTCAACTCACAGGAGCCAGAGACACCATGACACTTACACTCCACCTGCATGTTGTGAAGGATGGCCTGAGGATGAGAGGATAGTGAATGTAAGGAGAGCAGATTGATAGTGAATCTCACAGATGACAAAGTTAGAAATTAAGTGAGATGCTGGCAGAGAGCGGAACAACCGACCTTTCGACCAGCCTCGTTGTTATGGAGGTTCATGAGTGGTCGCCCTGCTGACAGCCCCTTGGCTCGTTCTGGGTCATCCACAAATGTTTGGGAGAAAGCCACACCATAGGACAGGTTGTCACTGCAACCTGACCACTGGAATCCTGTGGTGGGACAGAGACGGTACTGTGCTTTATTGCACCCTTTAAACAACTACATGTTTTAATACAAATATTGAAAAGATGGCTGAATCCACACTGGACCACACATACAGAAGCTGCTGCTGAGCTGTCTGTCGTTTCAGTGCTTCATACATACTGCACTTATGGTCAGTCTTATCTGTAATGTCACATCATGGGTGTTTTGCCTGTGACAGCTGATGGGAAAATACCTGATGTGACGACATTGTCTGGGACATTAGTGCTTCATACTTCATACATAAGGATTTAATCCACAGAAAACGGTGCAGCAGCAGTGACTCAGTGTGGATTCACCTGTTCCATTTTCATGCAATGGAATCCAAGCTCACCCTCGGGGCTGACCCCCCTGACCTTCCTGTCACAGCCACACCTATCCAGCTCCCCGCGGGTGCAGGCTCGGGTCACAGCCACTGCCACGGCTGCTGAGGACAAAGCATGCACAAAGGCCGCCTCACGAGTCCCTGAATCCAAAATAGATCACATTAAAATCTTAATTTGAAGTGCATATGAGAGTTTCGCGGTGTATGGATTCATGAGCAGGTAATTTTCCATGACACATTTTCAATATGAGGACACCTTGGTTCATGACTCTGCCAAAGACATTGATCCCACGTGCCGTGGTGGAACAGTTCCAGCGGCGATCCCTGAACTGGTGCTGGCACTTAGACAGTTAGACAGTGACATGCATAGCAGTTAGGGAGCTCTCATATACAAATCTAACACACACTGATGAGGCTGATAATAAAAGCATCATGGAATTAGTGGCTGTTTTGAGGCAAATTGTGAAGATGCCTGCAGGTCATGACCCTGTTACTTCATGCCCCCTGACCATACCTCTTCTATGACCATCTCGGCTGCCTTGCGTACGGACTCCATGACCTCCCCTCGCGCCCTGCACACACCCACCTGCCCTGGGGTCAGCCCCCTCAGCCGTGCACATGGGGCAGCACCGGACACGGGCCTGGAGCGAGGCAACCTCGCCAGGGAGCTGGGACAGAAAAGGTGGGCTGTGTTATTGGCTCAGAGCAGGTTTGGAAAAGGGAGCTTATTGTGCAAGGGGGGCAAAATGAGAGGATGCATAATGAAGAAAAGCGGAGGGAGTGAAAGAGGAAGAAGGTACAAAAAGGATGAAGAGGTAATGACTGGGGAGAGTTTTAAAGAGGATGGAAACAAGGGGAAGACCAGGCGAAGACGACAGTGAAGGCAGAGAGATAGAAAAGAGAAAAGGTCACTAGGAGTGAGACAAAGAAAGCGAGGGGAGCAACTGAAAGAGATTTAGAGACATGTCACCATCGTTTAAAAGTTATAGCATGACAAACAAACTCCCTTTTTCTCTTCCTCTCTCGCACACTATACTTACAGCCAGTTGGTTGCCATGGTGGGGTGGGTTGCCCATAGCAACAGGAGGAGGAGTGGTGCCCTGAGATTGACAGTGGAGACAGTTGGCATCAGACTGTCTGTCTGTCTGTCCCTCTCCGTGCGTCAGGCTGGGTCTTTGGACAGCCCGCTGCCCGTCTCCACAGTTGAAGTGATCTGTCTGTCTGTTATGGTGTTGGTTTATGTTTCTGGCTCAGAGTCTGGGGATGTTCCCCGCATATCTGTTGAGATGACAAAGGTCAAACAGGTCAGAGAAACAAAATCACAAAAACTGGAGCAGTTGCTCATCTTTTTTACAGAAACTTTGAATAAACAATAATTTGACGACTAATATTTCAGTTTGAACCTTTATGTGATCATGCTGCTGCAGCATTGGAAGCTGCAAATATTACTTACTAAATATTAATAGTGTACTAAGACTGTATACACAATTTACGTTTCACGAAAGTAACACTGATTCTTACCAGTTCATAGTCCTGTGATATCCAGTTATCCTTTTTTTTATAGTGGTTGATCAAATTGAAATTTAATCCCAATTTCAATCAGTAAAGATGAGTTTCTTCATGTGTGCTGTCAGTGACAGCAAAACCATGCTCACAGGAGTGTCTTAGCAAAACTCATCCTTTAAACACAAAAATAAGTCCACACGTCCCAATTTAATTGAACATTATAGTAGAATGTACCCCCCCCCCCCAAAAAAAAACAAACAAAACAAAATGTAAAATCCAGAAGTGCTAGTGAAATTCAACTTTTTACAAAAAAGCGCAATAACATTGTGTCAGCAAGTCCTCAGTTTGGTTCCCCCACCAAAACAGATGTGTCCATTCCAAGCTGAAAAAGCAAGAATGAGTGAGAGTTGTGAGATGGCACTGATGGGTTATAAAGGAGGTAGAGAATGAGGGTGGGAGAGAGAGAGAGGACAGGCGTGATGCAGGGTGTGGAGTGATGCCGAGGGAGGGGAGGAGGTGGCTTTGGGAAGGATAATAGTTGTACTACGCAAGTATTAAGAGTGTAAGTATGCTTTCCATTGTGTTTGTTTGGCATGAGACCTAAGATCTGAGCCAGCACTGGAGATAATGTCCTTCTGATGATTATCACAAATAAATGTGTGTATATGTGTGTTTTTTATCCCTGCATATACATGTGTGTGCAGGAGTGCATTTGCTGCTGAGAAACACTTCATGAGAACACAAACTGAAGCCTTTTTCCCCCTAGAAATATGTCCCACAAAATACTTCCACCAAAAACAGTGACACAGCATTTCTGTTACCACATATGTATATGCATGTGAATGTGCACGTCTTACCTAATGTTTAATTTTCCCAAACTTTGTTGCTCATTTTACGAGTTCCCCCTCCTCCCCTTCCTCTATCTCCCCCGCATTTGCCCTCTCATTCTCCCTCTCTCCCCCTCCTTATATTGTCTTAGAAGAAGGGGTGACATTTAGACAAGGGGAAGAAAACACACTGCCGACAAATATTGGAACTGAGGCAAATAAATCACGAGGTAGGAGGGAAAGGAGGGCATTAGGAGAGAGCGGGTGGGTGTTACATTGGGTTAAAAAAAAGCAGTAAAGAATAACAAAGCAGGATTGTGACATGAGAAAAAACTGAATGACATTATGTTTGCAGATTTGATCACTGAGATCAATGTTTTATTAATTTAAGCGAGCACTAAGGAACACAGCTTAACATATAAACTATATTGCATGATTAATCTTTATTTACTGAAAAAATTTGATCATGGTTATTCAACCAAAGCGCACTTTGTTGCAGTTTATTTGGTAGTTCTTCCTCATTTTGGTCTCTTACCCAGTGATATACAGAATCTAACAATTCTGTGTAACATTACAGAATCTCTCATGTCTAATTGTTTAATTGTACTATAATAGTATGTAACTGGAAGGATAACAATACATAATATTGTTTTATCTTTAGAATTTAAAAAAAGTGTTGCAGCTCCGCTTTCAGTTTTTGTATGTCAGTTAGCTGTAGGAGTTGTAAAGCATATTATTTCTATTTTATTCCACACAAGATATGACACCTGTGAGGAAAGCTCTAATTTTATTTTTATTTTAATCCTGATTTTTATACTGTTGTTTAAATGTTTCTTTGTTGTGGAATGAACTACCTTTGAGGTGCTACCTTGTCAAACTGTGCAACAGCTTAATTTCATGCCTTTTTAAAATGATTATCCCTACCTTCGCCCCCCAAAGGAAAAAGTCAATCATTGTCACAGTCCTTGCATGAGGCCTAAAATAATATAAAGAGCAAATGAATCTACTTTTATCATCTGCTAATTGTATTATTCCAGCTTTTTTGTCCATTGAACTAATGAACTAATATAGAAAATATTTTTAAAACTTTAAATATGTGATTTAAATCCATACAACTTCATACCAAATCACATTAATGCCACCACTGTCAGAGGCTTAACCTAGATGGCAGTTGTGTTACTCAGCTCGACTAGGCTAGTTTGCTTTTAGCTAGCTAGTTTATCTGATGTTTTTTTTTTCTCCATTATGATTCGCTTTATTTATGGGGCAAAACAAACTTTTTCAATTACATGAGAAAGGTAAGACTAAGTGTAGATGTGCGTTGTGATTTCCTTAATTTTATGGATGAATAAATTGATCCTTGAAGACATTTCTTTTTAATCTCTTAGGCCAATAAAGTAACGATTTGTGCTACAGCTTTGTCACACCTGATGAAACTTTACTGCTCTTGAGGGATCATTTGTTTAATCAGATGAGTCAAATGCGCCAGTGGAACCAAACATTTGCAGACTCTGTCACAGTCCCTGTCCAGGATTTGGTGGTCCATTTACCTGAACCCTCTGACACCCAGTTACTGAGTAAATGGTCACTCCATCCACACACACACTTTTCTCTGTCTATATCTGCAAAGACAGGTTTCTTGTAGGCCCCCTTCACTTCTTTTTTTGTCCTCCTCACGTCGTATTCCTCCTTTGTGTCCCCTGTTTCTCCAAGTGACGTCTTCCCCTGTCTCCCACAGCAACGCCATGGTGATGAGCTGGCCACTGTCATGTCCGGCGCCTCTGTTATGCTCATCCCTTCACCCCGCTCTCGTAAATAACTTGCCCTCTTTTTTATCTTTATCTTTCCCCCATTTTGTGGACATTCTATCATGCTGAAATGGTCCAGGACTGATGGACTGTAGCCAGGTTGCAGAGCTTAAAGAGATGCTTGTTAAAGCTTCAGCATGACATATACGTAGAGATGACTTGCCTTCTCTCCATTATAGTGGGAGACAACAGCAGACTTTGAGAGACTCTGCCATGAGATGGAGCAACTCTAAACTGATCTAACTTTGTCCAATGATACTTACAATGGGATGGATGATTGGGCCTCATTCAGAGATGGTCGCCTCAGGGTGACTCTGAACTTGATGAACATTTTCCCGCCCAAGGTCATTAAGAGATGTGACCCACCACCTTTTGCTCTCTTCATTTGCTTTATTACTTCTCTGCACTTGAGGGCTACCTGCCTCAGCAGTCTGAGTGCGGATAATCATAGCAAGCAGGAACATGACTGCTGTGCATGAGCACGCTCACATTGCTCAGGCATCTCTGCCAACAAAGAGCTGAATGCACTGCTGTGTATGAATGTGTGTGGAACGTGTGTATGAATATTATGGGATGGCGGGTGGTGGTGTTGTCAGGCAGGGAAGTGGGGGTGGAAGAGTGGGCGGTGAGCTGTGTGTGTCTGCACATGGGGGGAGGGGGCAGAGGGAATGGACGACCCATGAATATTATGGAATGATGGTGGTGTTGGGGCGGATGTGCAGTGCATGTTAGGTAAAAAGATAGCTGTGCATATAGGATAGAGGGAGTAGGAGGAGGTGTTGGTGACGATGTTGCACGTGAGTGCATGTGCACACGCATACATGCATGTGTAAGGGGCATTCAAGCGATAGTACCAGACAACTGCCAGACATAGGCCTTTGTTGCTATGCGATCTGCATGTACTGTACAGTGGGGAATATTGCAGAAGTGCCACAGTAGTAGAGGAAGCAGTGGAAGGCCTCTGGGCTCACATTTTGACTGTTCCTGCCCTCTTACAATATCCACTGAACCCAACGTGCAGACAGTAGGTTTTCACATATAAGGAATTTGCTTTGGTATATTGGTGCATAACATAGTAAGTAGAAAAAAAAAATATATATATATATATTGTGTAGACAATACCATCTCTGGTACAACAGAAATCCTTTTTACAATGAAATACAATGGAAAAGAACAAAATTAATGCAGCTTATGTGGGAAATGTTTTTTAGTTTTCACGGTACATAAATGCCTTTTTGGTCTTCAGGGAGCAAAGCATAATCTGGAAGTCATAAATTACTGATCACCTCTCTGTTTAACAGTGAAGAAATAAATATTGTTGCAACTTTAAACTATTTTATCATCTAAAATGAAAGCACATATGCAATGTTAAAAACTAAGATACCCATTTAAAATGTACGAAACCTAATTCAAATTCAGTGTGTATTGACAGTATAGTAATACGTGGTTGTCAGGCTCTATGGTAGCTTGGCTTACTTACACTTTAACAAGCAGCGGCCTGCCAGTGGGTCAGTAACTCATTACAAAACTGTTGATGTGCAGCCAACCATTGTTCATATTCAACTATATTTCAAATTAGTAGTAGAGATTTCCACATTTTTTAGCACAACAAATATGTCACGCAAAATTTTGGGTAAATGTTTATAAAATGATGCACAAGACATCCAACGAAAAAAACCCCGGTGCTATCATGAAACACAGGGAGTCTAGGGTTTCAATTTTTCACGCATTGTAAACATAAAGCTTCAATAAAGAGCTGGAACAAGATGATATGTAAAATACAGACAGTGTGGGATGAGACAACTACCTAAAAAGCGACTCAAGGGGAATTAGTGATGAAACAAATTTTTTTGTGGGTGTGAAAAAGAAATGTGGTGCTCGTACAGTCACATATTGTACATGCCCGAATCAGATTCAGTGTGATTAAGAAGTGCAAACCAAAGAGTAATAGATGACTGAATGCCTCCCACAGTACATCAGTAAGTCTGTATGCAGCAGGACCAGACTCACGTGTGGCCTTCAAGTGCTCCTTCTCAGCTCTTATTTCAGTTCAAACATTTAAAATACAACTTGTCGAACATTCAACTTTCACTTTAAAATATTGGAAGGCTGCCATTTTAAGCTTTTTCTAGTGTATTTCTAGCTAGTGTTTTTAAAAAGGTTTTAGAAATCAAGTAGTACGCTACACCACAAGAACTAAGTTCCAATAAACGCCGTATGCAGTAGGCAGTTTGTGTCACGGCACAAAGTACAAAGTACAGGTATGTCGTCACAAACGCTAACAACAGCTATAACAACAACATCAGCCATGCCAGCATCCTTGGTTAAGGAAATTCAATTCATGAATAAATAAATACATAGATTGCCTTCCCCAACATGCGAAACTCATGAATAAATAAATATCTAAATTGTATCCTGCCCCTATACTAAAATCATGAATACACATATATTGTACCTCATCCATAAGGCTACCACATTAAATGTATTGGGGTTGTTGCCATAGGAATAAGTTTTAGAGAAATGTTCTCACTTTCGACCTGCATCCACACAACATCAGGCCAAGACACTGCCGTCACTCTTGTGCACATGCTGGCCTGTGTTGCACTTGAATCCCCATGCATGATCAGATCACAGATGTGAGAAAGACATAGTGCAGTCCAGCTGTGATAAAACAATGATGTGACAGGAGGCCTCAGTCTACTTCAGGGATGCTGAGCTGGGTTGTAAGTGCCATTGTTGTACATATCCAAATCTGATTCAGTGTGTTAAAGAAGTGCAAGTAAGAGAGAGGGAAATGAATGTGCCTCTCTGACTGTGTATCAATAAGTCTGTATTCAGAATGACTGGACTTACAAGTAGCCTTTAAGTGCTCCCCCTAAGCTCTTGTTTCAACTTTAACCTTCTTTGACCTGGATGACTGAGAATCTTCACAGACCTCTTGTTTCAACTTGTTCCACTTTCAAGTGTAGTTACTTTGAAATGGTGTTGCAAACAAAAAAGACCCTTCTGAGCCAAAATGACTATTTAGTGGCCACTATTTATTTATTTTAAAAAAGATTTTAGGAATATAAGCAGCATAAAGTTACAATGTGCTGCAGCACCAGGGCTAAGCGGAGAAATGCGCAGCTGGAGCAGGCCTGTAATGGATGTTGTAGTTCATTTATTTTACACTTTATACAGTGTAATAGCTGTAATTGTACATGTTGATGTGTCATATGTGCTCAGGTGCCTGAATGTCACATCTTGCAATTCTAGTACCACTGAA